AATTTTTTTGTCAGAAAATTAAAGTATAATAAAATAATATAACCACGACTTTTTTATATGATTTGTAGACATGGAATTTTTAGTCCGTAGCTAACAAAAACACTTTTTCCATGGACTAATATACTAAAGCAGTAACATATCTAAATTTTCGTGGCAAATAAATTTAAATTTTTTGCCACCCTACAACACTTTGTGGCTACCATATGAAAATAGCTACAGATTTATTTATCGTGTCAAGAGTATAAAATTATTTGCTATAAATATATTAGTCGTGGCAAGAGTATAAAATCATTTGCTATAAATATAGCTACAACACAAAAATTTCGTAGCAATAAATATTAATTCTTAGCCAAGGACCATATAAAGTTTGTAGCTAACTTTTAGTTACGCTACATTTTGCTACGAATGCTACGGAAAAAAATATTGTGGCTAAAGTGTTTAGCCACCGAAATTTTCATAATTAGCTACGTTCTGTTTTGTAGCTATAAATCCATTATGTTGTAGTGGTGGGCGTGGCTCCTATGGACGACAAGATGTGGGAAGCGAGACTTAGATGGTTCGGGCACGTGCGGAGGAGGAGTCTAGATGCCCCGATTAGGAGGTGTGAGCGGTTGGCTTTGACATGTACAAGGAGAGGTAGAGGGCGGCCTAAGGAATATTGGGGCGAGTGATAAGGCAAGACATGACGCAACTTCAGATTTCTGAGGACATGGCCCTGGATAGGGAGGTGTGGATGTCGAGTATTAGGGTTGTAGGTTAGGGTTTAGTTGAGCGTTTTTCTTTGTTGTTCTGGCTAGTCTGATAGTGTTTTATATAGGACTGCTAGAGGTTATTGTTCCATCACACTTTCTATTTTTTGTTTATTATTTTTTACTTTTATTTTATATTTTATTTATAATTTTTATTATTTCTAAAATTATTGTCCTTCCCACTTATTTGTTGTCACTTACGGTGCTGACCTTATTTGTTTGTTTTTTTATTGTTGTTATGATCTTTTGTTTTGAGCCGAGGGTCTCCCGGAAATAGCCTCTTTACCCTCATGGATAGGGGTAAGGTCTGCTTACACTCTACCATCCCCGGACCCCACTAGTGAGATTATTACTGGGTTGTTGTTGTTGTAGCAGGTCATTCTACCTCTACCTTTATCGGGAGGTAAAGTGCTAGTACTCCAGGTCCCCTTGTTTAATGGCTCAAAGGTATTCTTCATTGGTATAGATGATAAAGCTGAAAAGTTTACCATATCTAGTTCAATCCTGTCTTCTTTAGCTTTATCTTTATCCACTAGTTTTTCCACCATCCCCTCTGTTGAAAGGGTGTTTGTACATTTTCTTCTGAGCTGTTGTTGTCTTAGCTTCCATCAGCTGAAGATTTTCTTTATCTACAATTCCTGCTTGACTTTTCTGCTGTGGTTCATCTTGTTTATGTTGTTGGATAATCTCCCCTGCCTACTTATCCAGATTAGCACCTTCTTTCAATGGTCCTTTTGACCTCCACTCCATAGTAACTTTCTTAGGTTCTCTTCTTTTGCCTTGTTGCCTCTCTTGCAGTTTATGTTGTGGTTGCTCCATACAATATTTGTGCCCAACCACTAAGCATTTTTGACAGAAGGCAGGTTTCCAATCATACCTAACTGCCTGTATAAATGTCCTTCCATTAGGATCCATAACTATTATCTCAGTAGACAGCTCCTTTGTAATATTAACTTCTATCATCATCCTTGCAAAAGATACTCTCATTTTCTTTGCAGTACACTCATCTGCATAGATAGGAGTACCTATTGCACTAGCTACTCTACTCAAAGAATCATAACCCCAACAGTTCATAGGTAAATTAGGAAATTGGACCCATAGGGGAATTTCAGTGGAAAACTCCTCATTAAAATCAAAATCTGATGTCCAAGGTTTCAATATAATAGGTCTATTATTAAATGTGTATGGACCAGAGTAGAAGATTTCTTTCATATCATCAATAGTTTGGAATTTGATGATGTAGTACCTCTCCTCGTGTAAGTATAGATCTGACTCTACCACATTTGCGCAGTTTATCCCAATAAACCTCTTCATAGCATTATAACCTGGTGTTTCCCCAATTATATATGCTATCACCGTACTTTTTCATTTCTCTGTTTCCAGATCTACTTCCTTTTTATCTAATTGAACCACAACTTGGCCATCAATGAGTTGTGGGGGTATGTATGCTAGTGACAAACCATTTCAGCCGCTCGATTCCTCTGAAATAGATTTATCCATGCTTTAGTCTGCTTATTAGCTGCTTCTTAGTCTGATTGTTCTCCATCGTCACAACATCACTAGTTGCATGTACCAGATTCACTGTTCCATTGGTTGAACCAGGTGGCTCCTTGCTTGCATGTTGGATCTGCAGTTCCTTAGTGTTGTTGGCTGTTAGAGGAGTGCTCAGATCTAGTCTCTTCTTCACTCTCGTACCCATCGATGAAGATTATGCTTCACAACTTACTTCCTGTACTACCACTGGTGTATCTACTTGGTCCTTTGTGTTGTCCTCAGCTTGAATTGGAGCTCCCACTGAGCTACCATAGGTAGCTATGGGATTCTTCCTGGGCCTTTCGCGACCCCGTCCTCGTCCCTTTCCCCTCGCCATGGAAACACAGTCAGTGCACGTTAACTATCGTGCGCCGAGAGCATGAGCGAAGAGAGAGAATTTTCGTATAGTAGTATTTCAACAACCTAAAAATACAATTAGACAGTGATAAAATTAAGATTTTTCTGAAGTTATTCAAGGTGTAAAGAAATATATTTTATATTATGTGATATGTATACATAGTACAATTTTTCAGCGAAAGATTTTTTAACCGATTATTTTTGACCAATTTAGTTTCGTCCGTGCAATGAGAAGTAATTAAAATAATGAAATTGACACAAACCGTACCCCAAATCCCAGCTACAAAACTCTAGCTTTGCCAATCTAACTTCTTATGACATTGTCCAGTTTAGGTTCTTATATCATTTCCAAATATTGCTTTAATCATAGATATGCAACAATTTTTCCTCCATAAGTTAGTTTACTTGGTCCATTATCAACCTGAGGAGAGGGGTATAATTTGGGAAAAGCAAATCAGATTTTGGGTGTGTTTGGAATGAAGGAAAATGAATTTTAATTTTCCTATGTTTGGTTGACTTAAATTTTTTAAAAATATTTTGCTCATTAATATAATTGGAGGAAAATACTTTTCATATCAAAAGAAGAGAAAATATTTTTCAAAATTCTTTTTCAACCTTCCCCAACCTATTCTCCACCCCACATCCAACTTCCCCTACCCCCAATCCAAACCTCATATCCCATAATATTTACCTAAATTATATATTTTTCAAAAAAGATATATTTTACTCACTAACAAAATACTAAAAACTATATTTCGATTTTTTTTTCACTCACCAGTTAAATATGGGAATAAGTGATAAAAGCACTCAAACACACCCTTTGACGTATGCTTTTTATTGAAAATCTACGAAGTTGTAATCATGGCATACTTATTTTTCAGATTAAGTCTTGCATCCTAGTCTAATTGATCCGTCTTTCTGCAATGTACATTAGTTGATATACGACTTGAATTAGTAGACTGAGCTTTAACTTGATTAATTGCTGACAAATGAACTTTCCTTTTTACATGGATAGAGTAGAACGAATACAAATAATTCATATGCAATCGAAAACTATTTTGGAATTGAAGGCTAGTTTATTTGTGGTATTGATTGATTATGTTTTTTTTAAAAAGAGAATTGAGTTTCAAATACGCACGGATATCGATATGGATCACCATTGTTAAAATGTTGATATATACTATATTTGCTATTTAAAGATTTTTTTGAAATAACAAGCTAGTATGTCATGTTTGATAATTCATGATTGTCACACCTTCTTTTTACTATCTCGAAAAGATATAAGAGAGCTTTTTTCCAATTTAAGTGACAATCGAAACGAGATTATTTATTTAGGATTCAGAGTTGTCACTTGGGATAATTTATGGTGTCCCAAGTCACCGGTTCAAATCGCGAATCGATGAAAGATTGACTGTTTTACAGTCTGCGAACAAAGAAATCCGGGTAAGGAATTCTGTTAACTCGGGAGAAGGTGTTAGGCATTCCCGGGTTCCGTGGTTCTAGCACGGTCGCTCAACTATTATTATTGGCCTATTTATCTAATTTTAAATTATTTATAAACCTATGTGCATTTTATTCCTTTTAAACTGCTTTTAATAATCTAATTGTTAAACTAAATACTTTGATTACACATCGCGAATCGTGTCACGGGAACCGTACCCACGATCTACAACATGTTTATTTTTATTAATAAAATTAAATTGTGGCCGGGTCACATAAATGTACGCCCGGATTTTTTAGAAATTAGGTGTCACGACCACGTCACGGGAACCGTACCCATAACTATGACAATTATTTAATTAAATGCACCTAAAGCAAACTACGAGAGTGCAAGGCATTTTCAAAACTAATTGTATTTATGCGAGGGCCATATATTATGGATTTTATTTGTGTATGGCGCACCTCAAATTATTATAAAAGAAAAGGTTTGTATATATATTCTTTTGAAAGGCAAACTAAAGATATTCCTACTTATATCTGATTTAAAAATCAAGTATCACAACCACGACACGGGAACCGTACCCGTAATTGTAATAGTTTAATTACATGCCTAAAACAAACTACGGGGTTCATTTTTAGTAACTAAATTATAAAATATGAGGGCCATAGATTATATGATTTAAAGGTATGAATGTCACGCCTCAAAACTATTCAACTAAATGAACTATGGATATTCATATTAAAACTAATTTGAAATTAGGTGTCACAACTACGTCACAGGAACAGTATCCATAGTTGTGATGGTTTAATTATATGCCTAAAGCAAATTACGAATGTCCATGAATTATTTCCTAAACTATATTAAGATTTATTGCTAGGTCATGAATTTATATAAATCTCCACACTGCCCGACATTGGTCATCCAAACGAATTCATACTCGATGAAACCAATTATCAAACAGAAGATCCAAACTAAATTATTAGAGAACGAACGTGTGACCAAAAAAAAACTAAAAGAATTAATAAAAGTAAAGATGAGTTTGAGCCATTGGAAAAACCACTAACTGATATCTTATCTCTGAACAAATAGTAACCACATGGATTTAATATGATCCTTAACATTATGCACAACACATTCGAAATTCTCAGATTCTATAACACGGGAATTCTAGAACAAAGCGTGATTAATACAGGAAGCTTGAGAATTCTGTTATGCCCCTCGGAATGCAAAATTGAAAATGCTTCAGAAGGTTTCCATTCAAACCGTGTACACATCAATTTAATCAAAATGGTACTCTTAAGACTTCTCCTGACTTCAAACTTGCAACTATTGAAGGAAATACAACAATTTCAGAGGCGGGTTGGTCCAAAATATGCCATAGCACTAAGTTAAAACAAAGACCATTTAATCAGGGAAACGGAATCCCATCCTTTAAGTTTCAACAAAATAAAATGATTCAACTTAATGACAGACTAAACATGCTTCAAATCACTTTTAATAAAATAGAAGATCATAGCAGTAACGATGCTTATTTTGAAATCAACATCTTTGAATTCCTGAAAATTGGTTAACACACCATGCTGTATTGAAATTGACTAACAAAACCAACCATTAACTCAATCCAAACACGTAATGAAGATAATTTTTCAGATTCCTACAACAGAAGAAGCTTCCAAGCAAGCACATAATTCTAATTCTTATTTGTCAATTAGGAAATAGACCATGAGAACCTTGAGAAAAGTTGATTCATTCTTTTAAACCAGGGAAAGAGAAAAAGAAAGAAAGAACACATAACCATGCTAATCACTTCACACAAAATACTCAAAAGAGCACAACTGACATAGAACTATCAACTTGGACACACCTCCTATAATGAAATGGAACGAACAGAAGATGGATGAACAAATTTGTTATCACTATGAAATTTAAATATGTCTATTCATGGCTTCTTCTAAGCTCGATTCAAGAAAAATAAAGAGTGGGGAAAAGGAAATCCACCTGTTAAGTAATTCTTCTTTTAACAACAGCAATGAGAAGTGTCGTTTACAACCAAATCCTTCTTTCCTAGCTGCTGGAAATAAAGAGATGAGACCGCAACGAGAAACACGAAACACTAACAAAACTCGAAACGGAAAAATAATCTTCAACTCCGACGAATTCAGACCATCCTTAATCAAATTCCATCGTTGGAAAATCAAATCAAGAAGCCAAATACATGTAATAATATTTTGTGTTTTTCTGTTTCTGGATATCAAAGAATAAACTGAAAAAAAAAACTAAATCAAAGAGGATGACCTAAAATATCAGGAAAAAAAACCAAAGAATTCTTTTCGGATGACAAATTCTAAAAATCCACTTAGAAAAATCTCCGAATTTTTTTTCTTCCTCCCAAATCTCTGAAAACCCCACTATATATACTCAACTCTCGAAGCTTCTGCCCTCTTCTCCTAAATCCCCAAATTTTATCCCCAAATTCGCAAAAACGAACCCCAATCTCACATAGAACAAAACCCAGACAAATGGAAGGCATGGATGTGATTTCTCACATCCAACCGCTACCATTTAACCGAGATTCATCCCAAGAAATCAAAAGCGCGTGAGAATGGCATAATGCAGAAAATATTCTGTCAGAGAACAGTTATGCCACGTTGTAGAGGAGGGGACCATGTGTGATGAGTTTGGGGAAGAACTCGTCTGAAAAGTCAGATGAGTTGGGCGATTTGGGCGAGCAGAATCGGGGATAGGGATAGGTGCCATTTCTGAGCTTGGAATTTAGGGTTCAACTCTTGGGGAGAATTTTATAAAAAGTTTATATACTAAGGTGGAAATGGGGTGGGTCGCGAGAACGGGTCAGGGGTTTTGGGCTGGACCTGGGCGGGTAAATTGGGATTGGATTTTGGGTCAAAGGGGTTGGGCCTAACAACCCTTTTTCCTTTCTAATTTCCCTCTCTTTATTCAATTATTTTTCCTTTTTCCTTTTTTTTTCTTTTTCTTTTTCCTAAATTAATAAAAATCCTAAATTAAACCCCAAATTAATCTAAGTTGTAAAATTAAACTAATTATCAAATTACAAAATTTATAAAAATTATTTGATCCTAAATTTAAAGAGAAAAATCAATAATCTAAAAATTAAAGACAATAATTGTAAAAATGAGCCAATTTTTGTGATTTTCGTTTTTAAAAAAAAATAACTAACTGATTAACCCTGGAACTGTAGAAAAACCTAAATGCAATGCATGATATTTTTGTACCTTTTTCATAATTTAAATAAAATAAACATGCAAAGAAAAATGCAAACAACTAACAAAAACATCATGCGAAAAATCTACAAAATTGGAAATAATGGGGAAAAATTATTTTCTTAAATTTTATGGGAGTAATTCCTATAGGGCAAAAATCATGTGCTCACAGCTGTCCCTCGTTGCTCAGAAACCCGAAGAGTTTTCGTGCAAATATAAAGTGAGCGGATACGAGCAATTTTTGCCCTTTTGAATACTCCGTGGGAAGCATTTTTGAAAGATTTGATCGCACCCTGCTCCCGAGGTTGCCTACATATCCTTGGCTATAAAGGAATCAGGTCAGTGTAGTTCGGGAAAATGATGGCCGGATGAGCTGGAGAGCCGAGTGAGGTGCCGTTCCGTCGAGGTTCCGACCCACGGTCCTGCTATTACATCAAAATGAGAAAGACTAACTAAGCCTGTCAACTATGAGTTATAAGATTCCTATCTATAAGTCTTCTGAAGTTTGATCTTGAGTCTTGAATGGTTCTTCATGCAGACTTTATATTTTAACCTTAGTGCTTGTTAGCTACGAGTGCTAGCTTGTTCTTCTTCAACTTTTCGAATCAAGACCGGATATGCAGTACTCGTGATTTCAGTCATAACTTGAGCAGCTCACATCTCTCTCTACTTCTGCATTTTGGATTCACTTCTTTCTTTTTTCTTATTCTGGGATGTCACTAACTTCTGTTGATCATTTCGGGCTTTTGACTCGCATTCTTGCCGCGAGATTCTGCTACTTCTAACATGAATTGAATTCTGAAATGATTTCCCTTGTTCTCCGAGTGGGTGCCTGCTACTGACTTGAAACTTGAAATAAATCCCCTTGTTCTCCAGGTAGGCGCCTGATTCCTCAACTCGAAATGTATTCCCTTGTTCTCCAAGTGGGCGCCTGATTGCCACAACTTGAACTGTATTCCCTTGCTCTCCAGGTGGGCACCTGATTACCAAAACTTTAACGGTATTCCCTTGCTCTCCAGGTGGGCGCCTGATCGCCAAAACTTTAACTGTATTTCCTTGCTCTCCAGGCGGGCGCCTGATTGCCAAAACTTGAATTGCTTTTCCTCGAAACTTGACTTGTTTTCCCTTATTCTCCAGGTGGGCTCTTGATTGCTGACCTTGACCCGTCTTCTTTTGAACATTGTTGCTTTCCCTTTGTTTTCCAGGTGGGTGCCTGATTTCCAACACTTGCACTATTTTTTCCTCGAAACTTGACTTATTTTCCCTTGTTCTCCAGACAGGCTCCTGATTGCTGACCTTGACACGTCTTCTTTTGAACATTGCTGCTTTCCCTTTGTTCTCCAGGTGGGTGCCTGATTTTCAACACTTGCACTATTTTTTCCTTGAAACTTGACTTGTTTTCCCTTGTTCTCCAGGTAGGTTCCTGATTGCCAAAACTTTAACTGTATTCCCTTGCTATCCAGGTGGGCTCCTGATTGCCAAAACTTGAACTGTTTTTCCTCAAAACTTGACCTGTTTTCCCTTGTTTTCTAGGTGGGTGCCTGATTTACAACACCTATANTCCTGATTTACAACACCTATACTGCTTTTCTTTGAAACTTGACTTGCTTTCCCTTGTTCTCTAGGCGAGCTCCTGATTGCTGAACTTGAAACCGTCTTCCTTTGATCATGTGCCATCTTTCCTTATTCTCCAGGTTGGCGCCTGATTACAACAAAACAGACAAAAACAAAAGAAAATTTTCTTCCCCAGTTTGGTGGCTGGGGACATCTGTAAGTGTTAATTGAATCATGTTGCCCAATATCTCTAAGAGTCTAAAAGCTAGGCCCTATTATCTTGGAGGGTCCTGAAAATTAAAATCAAATCTCATCTTAAGAGTGAACACTTCAGAGCTAAATCCA